CCCGACTACCTACTCTAAGTACTTTATTTGAATAAACAAAACAATTGCAAACAAGAAGGCCAGTAATAAGAAACATAGTAGAAGAAACAGATTTTCATAAAATCCACTAAATTTCATCATGAATGATTATGTGAGAGTAAGACTTTCAGTTGAATGATGAGAATATCATGGTTTGCCGTACCGAACAGTACCGCCCGGTACGGGCGGTACGTACCGGTCCGACAGACTTTCGGTACGCGGACCGCCTCTTACCGTTCCGGTACTGTAGCAGTACTGTAGCAGTACTGTAGTACTGTAGTACTGCTACAGTGCTCGGCACACCCGGGTGTACCGCTCGGTACACCTCGGTATACCGGTCGGTACACCCGTACCGTACCGTACCGAGCACGGGTCGAAACACCGGTACGGTACGGTACGGCGAACCTTGGAGAATATATTAACAAAACGAAGCAGATTTCATATAGAAGGGAACAATAATGGAAAGAAGAGAAATGGATAATCTAATTTTAACCTTTCTTCTTCGGTCAAGTAATCCTCATCAAGAAGCTTCTTGAGCAATAAATCCTGACAAGAAGGATGCAAAAAAATTTCAAATGGCTTATAGAGATACCAATGCATAAAATGGCCTATAGAGATACATGGATTAATTAAGTCCAGACTGCACTGTGAAGTGTGATCCTCTACCTATGCAAGAAAAAGACTCCAGGAACCAAACTCATATTACCAAGTGCAACTGGTGATGCTATTGAATTGGTTACTTGGACGATACAACAATTTTTGAAGACGAGACATCTCTGGCATTTTGTTTGTCACGGAATTGATTATTAGGTCATTGTGCTTGCTCGCACTCAAATCATGTTAGTAATATCTTTAAGTTTGGCTGCAATCTGCTTGCAGTTTTTCTGGCATTAGTTTTTGAGGCAGGTCTGTTGTTTTCCTTTTCCTTCTTTCTGTATTTTTCTTCTCCTTTTGCTCAATTCTAGCTTTCGGGGAAAAATGCGATGTTTCCTTATTTATTTCTCACGAAAAATTTAAATTAGTCACCACTATCAATTGTAATATGAATGTCATAAATGCTATAAAGATTGTGACAGAGATGGATCCCTGTAAATATGTCCAGAAAAGAAAACTCATTATTATCATTACTTTTACAAGGCTATTAAATGGGAATACGACCATCATTGGTATCATCGCTATTGATGGTCAAAATGAACACAGTCTGAACTTGCAAATAACAATAAGGTGTCTGGACTGAAAATCAGCAATTCTTAATCATTGCAACAATCATTTGGCTCAAACCCATTACAATGGTCTGTTATGTCAGTAACTATTATTTCATTTTACTAAGAGGGATCCAGCTGGGCAGGATGGATTGGCAAATATCAATTATATTTATGCTCAAAGAAAGAGATATTTAAAACAGTGAATCAAAATTATGTGGAAAAAATAACTAGCTCAAGAGAATTGCACGTTTTTTCCTAGCAAACATTACACCAAAGCATGAAAAGCATACAAGATACTAAGATAACTAGTTTGAACTCGACTTATGATGGTAGGGAAAGTTCTAACAAATTATGAAAAGAACAGCAGGTATGAAACTAAGAGGAGACAAATAAAGAGATACATGTGACCAATGTACACAAAAAATCTAGTAAATGGTCAGGCGCACACCTGTGCTTCACAGCGCACTACTTTCATCACCCGTTCATTGTACTCGTTGATACTTAAAGGTGGATACAAAAAGTGCCTTCGAGCATACAGCTGTATATTTGACACAAGAGAGAAGTGAAACTTCAAAACTGTTGCAGCTAAAAACATTAAAATTCAGTTTCCTAGAAAAAGATTCCAGCTCACATATGACATCAGTTAGTATCACTTTACAAAGAAGCAAGCTAAATAAAGACCCTGATAAGCTTGGTACAAGACAATTATCTAAATATCTGGTTTGGTATATTCAGAACTATAAGCAGTTGCTAATTATTATTTTCCTTGGGAAACATAATCACACGCATGTGGACTTTTTGTCAGAAAGTTTATGCTACATGAATAAAAATTCTTGAAAAATGATTTAAGAAGTTGGTAGAAACATTATGGCTAATAACTCCTGTGTAGAGTACAACATATTCATTCACTTTTCTCATGGCAGTAAAAAAGATAACAAAGAGTATGAAAAGGTGGCAAGCGGGGAAAGCAAGTTTTTCAACAATGAAGTTAGAAACAAGATAGATATTAACTGATAATTTGCATGTTAACTATAAAAAGAAGCTAAGTCAAAAGTTCCCATGCACTTGCCAAAAATGCAAAAATTTAGGATCCAATCGCCAATAATATAAACAACACATATCACTTTCAGTCTAAACTACATGTGAAGCATATACACGACTTTATTATTATAGGCATGAAAATGTTTCTAGTGCCACCTCATAAATGCAATCTCCCAAGTATGCCAAAGATGCTGCATTGTAAATGGAACGTGGCTTATTCACTTTAGGCGCAACCGGCAACCATGTCTCATATCCCAGATAATGTTCGTCTGATTTCCCTGTACCAGAGAAACAAGGAGTGTCACAAATGCAACTACTTGCAAATGATATAAAATGAAAATCCCTAAACAAATTGATTTCCCTACTACCAAAGAAACAAGGAGTGTCAGGAATGCAACTATTTACAAATGATGTAGAACTGTCCCTAAACAAATTCATTTCCCTCCTATCACAGAAACATGAAGTGTCAGGAATGCCACCACTTGCAAATGATAAATACTGGCATTTATTAATCAGAAAGAAGGGGGAAAAGAGAATAGGAAGTGGAATGTAACTCCTGCTTTATATAGTGAATGACATCGATTTCAATCCCCCCCCCCAAAGAAAAAGAAACAATGAAAGAACATGCTCATGTAGGTGTCACATATGTAAAGTAGAAATTACAGCTTATTTTGTCTATTATCAATGTTCTAATTTTTTTTTTCTAACATAAGAAGCTACAATATGTTAATACATATTATCCAAGACAATAAACTATCTCTTAGAATTAGAAGTACATAATCAATAACAATCCTGAGATATGACACCGAGAAAAAAAAGCTAGTACATATAACGACAAGAATAGAAGGATGTAGAGAACTCGTAGTGAATGGACATGCCAACAAAAAGGCACACATTTTTTCATGTCAATTCCACACCTTTCTTGCTGGTCGAGCGGCGACTGGCGTTGAGAAGCTGGGAAAAATCCTTCTCGAGGACGGCAGTCCTCGACGAGGTGCGGGCGGGCGAAAGGGACTGGGCGGGAGGAGGAGGAGGGGTGGACGGCGGGACGCGGAGGGGCTTGGCGGACTTAAGGGCGGGAGACTTGGGGCTGGGATTGGTGTCCCACGAGGCCCTCACCGCCACCGCGGCGTGCGCCATGGCGTTCGCGGCCATCGCCCTGCAAGCCCTTCGACAAATTGTGGGGCGGGGTTTGGAGGATCCGAGCAGGGGAAGAGTGTTTAGGCGATAAGGAACAAGATATGATTCATGGTCCGGTGGGCCCCTATTTGATTCTTATTTTTTTTACTTTTTCCTCTTTAAGGAAAACCAAAAACATATAATGATTTTTATCAAAGAATTTTAATGTTATAAAAAAATTTGTAAAAAATAATATGTATTAATTTAAAAAGTCCATACATGTATTTTCATAATATTTAATAAAATAAAAAGATAATATCTAAAGTATGTACGTGTATTTTTATAGATATAATACATTAATGCTTATTATATTCTCCAAGTTAGCATAAGGAGAAAATTTATCTAATGATTTATCATACAAATTTAACATTATAAAAATTAAGATGATTTTTCTTTAAAAAAACCTTTCTTTTGTTTTTTTTTAAATGATACCTCATTTTTAGTCTTCTCATTTAGTATCTCATTTTCCTCTAATATCCTAATTGCCTTTCACCATTGTCAATATCAAAGGTTTTTTTAAATGAGATATCATTTTTAGTCTTCTCATTTAGTATCTCATTTTCCTATAATATCCTGAGTGTCTCTAGGATAACGATAAATCAAAATAATAAGCATTGAAGACGAAGGAAGATAACGAGACGATCACGATGAGATGAAAATAGCAGAAATAAAATGATAGAGGTCAAAGGTGAGAGAGAGGAAGGAGGCGATGGAATAAAAGTAATGGGATCGAAGGTGATGAGACAGAAACAACTAGATATTACATGACGATCACAATAAGACGAAATCAATAAGATTGAAGTAGCGAGATAAAGAGAGCCACAACAAGATGAAAGAGAGGCATTAGCGATAACGAGGACATTTAGTGTTTAGATAAAAATGATGACACCAAATGAAAAAATTGAAATTGAGGGAAAAAGCCAATAAATATTTTTTTTTCTGAAAAATCACCCTAAAAATTATAAAAAAAAGAATGTGTTAATAAAAGAAGCCTATACATGTTTTTTCATAGTACTAATATATTAAGAATATAAAATAATAATTGTATGCATGTAATTTTATAGATATAATATATTAATGCTAATCCTCGTGAAGTTAGCTTACGAAATAAAATTAACTTGATAAGTACCAAAATATATGAAAAAACGAAACCTTTTTTTGGCCATCGATTAAACGATGAACAGCAGCACTTTTCGAGAAAATGTTCCTCGAGATTATAGCATTATTTGCATCTGTAAAAGCATGAAATTGCCTTTTTGATTTGTAGATCTTATCATATTATCATTCGTTGGTACATTCTCCTCAAACTTGTCCTTTACCACTATGTGTAACTCGAACACTCTACATGATATTTTGTACAAAAATTAACCATCGATAATCGGCAGTATATATTAAGTGAATTATCAAATCTCTCACGACATGTCCATATTTGCATTTAACAATCTTTAGAGTTCCCTCCCACTAACCATACAACTACATGTGGTGTCTATAACATTACACGACTCACTTCAATCTGAATTTTATTGAACCTAAACCAACTCATTTATCACCAAATTCCAAACAAAAATATTTTCTTAAATAACCTAGATACAAAAATCTCTTTTTTCATGGTCGAGTTGGTACAACAGTAAGAAGGCGATATAAAAGAGACTCGGCACAGAGTAAAGCTCTCTTCCTCTCAGTTTGATTACCATATTATTTCTTTTCTAACTTGGTGGTGTTCTAATGTACTGGAAAATCTCACCGAGTATGTCCTCGGTACATGTTTTGTAGGTTTTCAGCATCTCAAACCAGTTCACGGTGACCAATCTTTCTTCAGCTCAGTAATCAATTGATCTACCTTGTCTGAAAAAAAGAAATAAAAACCTTTAGATTGACAGATCAAAATTGAAGACACTTGAGAAGAAGAGATGTACTTCATTTTACAAAACTTGAGCAGACAACAGTATTATTGTGTGAAGCCAACCTGAATTCAGAAGTCGTATTTTGTCCTTCCGCTTTTTAGAACGCGGCAGAGCATGTCGGACATATTGGACGTTGAGTTATAGAAGCTCCAAGATTCCAACATTAATCGCTTCCTCGACCCCTTGAAATGGACAACCTGAATAACAGCGCATAATAATCAAATATAGTATCTCCTTGGATAGCATAACCTTGCGCTAAGGTTTAAGCTCAGAGGTCAAGGAAAGCATAATTATATTCATCACAGAGAAACACAAGATAACAAGGAATTAATTCCATCAACTAACGACTACAAAATGCTTAATCAGACAAAATTTTAGCAATTAGAAGTTTCATAGGTAATCAACGGGACAGAGAATCTCACTTAAAAACCTACAATTTAAGCTTACCTGGACATCCAAGGGCATGCCATGAAACTGCCCAGCGCCTTCAGGTGGGGTCCAATTATAAACAGCACAAGGCAAAAAGAGAATTGACACTCCGTTTAGCTCAGCAGAGAAGCTTTCATGCCTACCAAACTTCTTTAGAGCAAATGGAAGATGAGACTTAACTACCCATGCAAGAGCTAACTGATCACCAAGCATGCGGGAGGCCTTCATAAATTTCAAGCTGTACACGTTCACAACTTCTTCTAAAAAGATCTTTGCCCTGCAGCCAAAAATTGGTATCTTATTTGCCGAGTTGTTGAATCAGAAAATCATAATCATGAAAAGAGACACTGTGAACTAACTTAAAAATTCCATCTGGAGTGCCTCTTACTGCAATGAAACCTGAGTTTAGAGGCTGGTCTTTATTGTTACGAAAAGTGAGGGCCAGGTGAAAGTTAGGATCTTTCTGAAATATATGCCCAAGGTCATTTACCACTGCAATATCAGAATCAGTGAAAATGTAGTGAATAGTACTCCCGAGGCCCTTAGATTGCTCTTGAAGCCTTGTTTCTAGGAATGCCTGCAATGGTCCGAGATAACGAAAAAAAGATTCACATAAATTAACAACCTTTCAGTAGCACAAGAAATTAATAGATCTAAAAACATTGTGCTACACTATGCTAAGATAAACTTTACAGGCTGCAAAATCATATAACTATAACATGTGGAGTTGAACACTCCACTCGCACATGCAACACAGATTGGAAATGTTTAAATATTTTGTTGCTGGTATATATCACTAAGATTATTATAAAGGCCTCACTAGCTTCAGCCACATGGAAACTGTAGAGGCACTTTTGTAATATGATTTTGGAGTCATGTTTTGATAAATGTTATGGAGCATCGTACATGGAAATGGTTTCCCTTTCAGCCCATTACTTTCTCTTTCTTTTGTAGACATCATTTTTCTGGTGGAAAATAAGTGTTTCCACTCTTCTATCACTCTTTTGTTTTTTTCTCTTCAAACTCCCTGTGAAACTAGGGATTTAATCCAACATTGTTTTAGGTTATGTTTCTTTATTTTTGCATCTGGGCAACTATATGTAGAATTCTCTCTCACAATATTCAATATTCTTTATTTCAAATATGTGATTTGCACTAACTTTGGATATTATTAGTATCATAATATCGATAGACTTGGCCAATATACTTTTTCTGAAATAGTGATTTTCTGCTGATCCTTGTGGTTACAATTTTTTACTCAACAGAATCTTGTAAAAGTATTGGATAATTTGGCTAATTTACACAAAGAATTGCTGGAGGCATAAAACCTAAAAAGAAGAGTAGATACACAGTAATAAAGTTAAAACAATCTTGTAAAAGAACCAACAAGCAGCTAGACAGCAATGGTTTGTGATGTAAAATAATATGGTAAAAGAGTCTACTCCAAAAAAGCATGAGCATGGTACAACTACCCATGAAACATGGTTGATATGAATGTGGAACAACATCATATTTCGAATATGCCAAACTAAATGGGCAGAATTATACTGAACAAAAGAACAGACCAGGATCGAAAATGTATTATTCCTTAGAAACTGAAGCTATTCAAATACTATTTAAACATGATCTTACAATGTAGGACCTGATTCTCTGAAGCATCAAGTTTCCACGTGAGTAATCTCCAGGAATTGGTAATGTTGTTGCTTTATTTTTTCTTATTGCAAACTCAGAAGCAGGATCAGTCAATATGATTACACTGCTGCTTGGCATTGACACCTGTAAAGTTCTACATACAAAAATCAAGTTAAACAAACACCAACCATCTTATACATTTATTTAATTCAGCAATCGAAAATAAGGGCAAAATTAATGAAAAACATCAGCTTGTATAAATTAGTTTTTGTCTGGATGAAAATGTGGAATTTAAAGACAACTCTCCAACCAATATGCACACCAAAAGAACATTAGTGCATGAATTTAGAAACAAATGAATGTAACTAAGTTGAATAACATTAGCATATAATCCACAGTTTATAACCCCATTGGATATGCAAAATCGGATAATAGCACACTTCTAAAGTGGCCATTACATATATGATTAAACTTAAAATCAGTGTCCCTTACAGAAATCTCCTAAACATGCTTGTGTGTTGGTGTATGTAAAATGTACATTTTAAAGAACAATATCATATTTTTTATGTGTAAACATAATTAATCAGGAGCATGTAATTTAGTGTTTATACATGTAATTACCTGTATGAAGTCTATGAAAGCAATAAGAATGGCCATGGACCTTTCAGCTTTGCTGTAGGAATTGTTTCCAACAATTACCATATCAGATAATTTACTATCCGCCCTTGCAGAGTCTGATCCACGCGGGCTGTTGTAAATTGTGTAAACTGTGACAAATGAAATGCTGTCACCAATTTGAATGTCCTCATGTGAGATTGAAGAATGGACCTTATTGACAGCTTTGAGGCCTGTGACAGGAGACACATGATGAGGAAGCTCACAGAGACATAATTGATTGCATTAAGTTTAGTTGCAAAATCAACAGAAGGCACAATCATCCAGAAATCTGCCAACGGCATACACATTTTAGTAGATGGTAGATATAGGAACTATTGCTACTATATAAGAGACAAGATAACAGAATGCAAAATATTTGAAATTTAAACTTCAGAAATTATCAGCCAGCAATTCTCATTTCTTAAAACTCAGAACTTGAGCCATAAGTAGGTCATAGTGAAGGTTAAGTAACATTTTAGTTCATAACTGTTTTTGTTACTAGAAAATTTTAATATATAAAATTTATCAAAACATACAGTGCAGTCCCCAACTTCTGATGATCAACAAGGGTTCAGCAGATTTGCTTGAAATGGAAGAACTACTGGCATTGGCTATTGACATATGTAATTACTTACATACGCAAAAAAGTGGCGGCACAGTATTGTATGATACCGTAAGTCATCTACTAAAAGATTTGGGGATACAAATCCAATGGGACAACAAGACAGTAGCATTTTTCCTATCTCTTTCCGTTAAAAGACTAAATCTCTTAATCTAAGGTGGCTGACTGGACGTTTCATTTCATGTAAAGTTCACGAGAACAAACTCAAAATCACAAAGCATAACCAAATCAACGATCACCAACATAATTCCATGGCCCATGGTCTTACTTCAACCCTAAATTCAAAGCACGTACTCCTTGTTCGACAAACATTCCAACAACAATGACAGAATTTCCACCGTCATCAAATTTGACGTAAACAGCTAAAAGGTTCAAACATATCAATTGATGTAAACTTAAAAAAAGAAGAAGCTGTTTTTCACATAAAAAAGGTCGAAAGAAAGGAATAGAAGATATACCTTGGCATTGGAGGCGATCGGGCAAACCCTGACCGGCAGCGGGTCCGAGGACGAGGTGATCTGATTTATTAGGGCGAGTTCGCTTCGGCTCTTGTTGGATCGAAGAACTCTCATGCAATTTTGACACTGGGAGCAACAGACGACGGGACATGTATCAGAGTACAAGGAATTAGAAAGAGCGAGAGGGGATTGATGAGGGGAAACGGACCTGAGAGAATCAAAGGGAAGAAGAGGATTAGAGGGAGGACGAGGAAGAAGAAAGGGCGCTTCCGGCCCCCGCAAACCCCCATCGGCAGGATCGATTGCGTCCTCACGTGACTGAGAACTGGAGACATCCCGGATGTCCGCTGCAGGTGAGCGAGGAGAGCCTGCTCGTGGGTTGGGCTTGATTTGAACGACCCAAACCCTTAACCGAAGGATCCGGACCCGGAAGTCCTTGTCGGGCATTTATTATGTAGGTTATAGTCGGATCCGATCCGATACCATTAAACATCGTCTTTGTGTACCCTCCGCTGCTGCATCCCATAATAACGTTTAATGCAAGATTTAGTAGTTAAAGGGATCATCTTGGCGCGATTTCTAAAGCATGTTTACATCACAAGGTGATTACTTTTCTTATGCTAGTGAGAGTCTAACAAGTTAGAGCTCAGTCTCCTATTCGCATGTCTCTCATCGGATATGTATGCATGCATTTTGACCTGGAAAGTGAATAGAGTGTAATGAGTAATTAAATTAGCAAGCAATAAGAATAAACAGTAAATATATATATATATATATATATATTTATAGTGATTCGATTAAAGTTAATGGTTTTCACTATCCATATTCTTTCAAAGATCAATTATCTTTTTATCTATTAAATATAATACCCCTAAGTTTATTTATTAAATATAATGGATCTTTTTTTGTTAAATTGGATTTAAGTATCATAAGTTACTTGATTAAAATCAACAAAATTAATGAATCAAAAAATCAATTTGTTAATCATAAAATAGATATTGCATAAGTTTGAAATTTCGGATATGGATCGAAAGGTAGAATAATGGAACGATATTTTGATGGCTTAAAAAAAATTCATTTTGATATTTGAGAAATTCACATGCATATACTATTTAAGTCATGATAATCATATTAAATAAAATATTTTATTTATATAAATAATATTTTTTTTGGATTAGTTTGATGTAATTACTTTTTTGATATTGTTAGGTATTATAAAAAATATATTTATAGTATTAGTTAATATTATCATTTTTATATATTATATATGATTGAATTGATACTTCCATTCATGTAAGATTATTTATTATTTATTAATTTTAATATTTTAGACTTTTATTATATATTTTTAAAATATTTTATATATTATAAGATATTTTAAAATCTAATCAGTTGACCCACTTATTCGACTAGTGATTTAATGACCCAAGGCAGCATCATTGTTTGATTTGATTTTGATAATTATGCATGTATCATTCACATTCTTCCTATGTTGTCTTTCATAGCTTAGTATTTACAACCTTATTTTTATTATTGGTAATCTTTTTAAAAAAATTAATTATTTATCATTATTGATTTTGTTTTATTCGTTTTCTTCCACACAATCTTGCATATCGTCGACGCTACTCCACATTGTCTGACCTTGGTCATCACTTGTTTGATATCGTCCTCTAAGAAAAATGAGGAAAATGAAAAGGATAAGAAAGAAGAAGGAAAATACGAAGAGGAGAAAAAAAAAAGATTTGATAGGGTTTACGAAAGCAATAACAGATCTTGTATAACGATGGAGTGTGGAATGAATTTTGCACATGGGATGAGGGGGTGTGATGATGATAGCTCTTGCTGCTCTCACACCAGAAAAGATGAAGAACAACGATGACCCTCATCGTCTCAACCCATAGCCCTTTTACAAAAAGAAGGATGATACCAATAAGTTTGATGGGACACGAATGAGAGATACTTGCGGAGATATTTCGACGAGGTTAAAGAAAAAATGATAATTTAAGAAGAAAAAAATTCTTTTTAAGATAAAATGATATTTTGAATTTTTTTTTTAAAATTATGGTGATTCATGAAAATTCCTTTTTTTTAATTTACTAAAGATTTTTTTAAGATAAATAGTTCGTGTGTGTATATATATATATATATATATATACTCGTCGATCATCAGTTTTCTCGGTAAGACAGCATAATTTCGTACTCACATACATCGACAGGAGGGAGAGAAACTGTGATGGCGGAGAAGCCGCAGTCGGTGCGTGTCCTCTACTGCGGCGTCTGCGGCCTTCCCGCGGAGTACTGCGAGTTCGGGCCGGACTTGGAAAAGTGCAAACCCTGGCTCCGCTGCCACGCCCCCGACCTCTACCCCGATCTCCTGAAAGGTAAATTCCGCATCTATCTCTCTACCTTTCCCCTCTCCATCCCTTATCGATCTGTTTATGTGAATTTTAGAGGAGAACAGGACGGATGCGGATGAAGCCACCCAGAAACTGCAGTCGGTGGCGGTATCGGGTTCTGGCGACGGTCGCGGCGATGCATCCGCTGCTGCTTCAGGTACTTCAATTAGAGAACTATTGCCGGCATCAAAATATGCCATTTTGTTGTTTCTCTTCTTTTTGATCCGTTTCACAGGAATCTTTTGCTTGATTTGGACGTTATTTCGTAGAAATTTGATAAAATTTTAGGATTTTATTAAAGTTGATGATTTACGAATTAACACAAGGGTTGGAACAAAAAAGTTGGACATTCATGATTTTGTTTGCGGTCCTAGGTCGAGACGGCTTCATGCGGTGCCTGTTGATAAACTTTTTTTGTATGTGTTTGGACAAAGGGTTTGATTTTTTTTCTGATGGTGAAATCCATTATTTGTCATCGCAAAACTTTCTTATATTGCTAAAGTCTAAATTGATCCTTTGCTATTCCGCTGGTTTTCGGCATAGCTGTTTTTGTTTATTTATTGTATTGTCTTAACTCTGCTTCCTAATAATCAGCACTAGTTTAGATTTATGTTTTTCCATTTGGAATAGATGGCTCCCGTCTGGCAGTAGTTCTTTCATCAGTCGTAACTCTGCTTTTCCTGTGCAGGGAGTGCTTCAGCACCTAAGCAAGAAGAAGTAAAACGCCTTCCTGGTGGTAAGATAAAGAAGAAGGTGAGGCCTTTAAACTTATGTTTTGTCATGTTTATTTACAGGAGATGTAATTGTTTCTAACTGGAACAAAAGATTTTTTTCTTTCTATGGAAAGGCACCTATGATGTGTAAGCGGTAATAGAATTACAACTTCAAATGCAGTCAACAATTATTGGCTGATTTCTCTTACAGAAACTTGCATTGACCACAGCTGTTGCGCCATCTGACAGAATGGTTAATTGTTTCATAGTGTTGGTCTTTTAAGCTCAAAGTTAATTGATGTGCCATAGACATTGTTTTTGAATTATGATTAGGAAGATCTGTTGTCTCCATGAGAAATTTATCTTCGCTTATGATTAGTTGGCATGCCATAGTGAAATATATGGATATATATATTATTTGATTAGTTATAAACAATTTAAGTAATTTTACAAGTGTTTTGTTCTCCCATGTGAGAGTTAGGAATTCTTTTTGCTCCATGGTTGAATCTAGTGCTGAAGAAGGAAAAGTTTGCTAATTTAATGTAAACCAGATGGATCTGATTTCATGGTATCATTCAGTTAAGAAAGGGTGCAAGCTTGTCCATTATCTCTTTTATGATTGTTTTGTTTTTTGTATAACCTTGTGTTGGGTTCGATATGTATCAGAAGTTTTCTGTGAAACATGGCCACTGTTAGAGTCTCCAATGCATGATCTGTTCCTTTTGGGATCCAACTACCACAAACAAACCTCACTAATCAATTCATATTACTTAACCTAATCAGTTAAACTTGTGGTGCTTCTCTGTTTTAATAGCCTATATTTTGTACACTAAATTTTGGATCCTATCTGCCAGTCAGGTAGTGGTTTTTTTGTCAGCTTTTCAGCTTCAATGTAGTTATTCATAGCTTGATGCAAAATAATTTGGTTTTTAGTTATTTCATAGGGTAGACCTGAATGGATATTACTTGTTTTGACATTACATATCATGTGCAAATAATAATATTGATGAACTGCATCCCAATCATTGTGTTGGAATATTAAATTTGTGGCAAAGTGAGTTTGAAGCTTGAGTGAGCTGAAACCTTGGAAGGAAATTAGATGAGAACAGTGAACATAGATGTTCATCGTTCTTTTCTAAGAGTTAAATGTGTTGTTTCTTGGTCAGTGTATGGCTTATAACTGTTTTATGGTAGGAGAGTAGCTACTTCAGAGAGTTACTAGTGAAGATAATTTGTGTTTTTATGCATATTTATTTGGGTTAATCTTTTGATGATTTATGAAAGTCCTAAGTTATGCATTATTAACTTCTTTCCTTTCAGGAGAAGCAAGAAGTTGTTATTGAAAAGATTGTTCGCAATAAGCGCAAATGTGTTACTGTTGTGAAAGGTCTAGACCTATTTGGTGAGTGATACTCAGGACTTTCAGCTTCATTTTTATCTGTGCTGCTTAAGAAATTGAAAATTGTTCGTAGTTAAGTGCCTGAATATTGATATTGCTATGTTAATGTTCTAGGCATAAAACTGAGTGATGCATCAAAGAAGCTCGGAAAAAAGTTTGCTACAGGAGCTTCTGTTGTTAAGGTGAACTGGCATTGTTTTTTTTGGTAAAGGAAATTCTTTATAATACTAAGCTTTTCCAAATACTTCATTCTGGCTAATTTATTTCAGGGGCCAACTGAGAAAGAACAAATTGATGTGCAAGGGGACATAGCATATGATATTGTGGAGTTCATCACAGACACTTGGCCAGATGTAATTTCTCTATAACCAATTTCTCTTGTCAAATAATACTCCTCATCCTTACCATCTATGTTAGTGCATCATTTCCTTAAGATAAATTCTTAATGGTTGGGGAACATGTGTTATGACCAAGAATTTCAGCATTCATCACTTCTTTTGCTTTTGTTTGTGTATGTTTGTGTGTTTGAGAGAGAGAGGCATTTCAACTTAATAGAAAACATGCCCATGCACCTCCATCTTTGAAACAAATAAAATCACTCTAATTGGTATATCATCTACTAGCTGGTGTTGTTCCCTATAGTCTTCTCACCAGATAGCCTGTACTAAAATCTTCTGTAATGGCAACACTTGTTAATCTCACACATTTATTGCACCCCAATGCATGTAATTATGGCTTGTACACATTTAACTTTCATAGTCTAACAGCTGGTTAGTTCCTATTTGTTCAGGCATCATTTGCCTACTTAAAAATTAATAGGTCATTATACTGCATATGATCTATTCTTATACTGCCAAATATGTGGCTGGTGATATCTCAGTCCAAAGTCCTGATAGTTTCATATAGATTAATATCTGACAGAAATATGAACTAATGATTTGACATCTTTCATGGTTTGCGTTCCATATCTTTCTAATATCCTCTTGGCCATCACTAGACAATTTCTTTAAACAAGTCAACCCTTTTTTGCTTTGGAAAAATTTCCCTTTGCACACGATGGACTGACATTTTTTCATTTATTTTGATAAAATTAGTTAAACAAAAAAGGAACATGTGGAGAAGCCTAGTGCTTGTGACTTTAGACAAATTTAAGTCCAAGAGAAGGGACAATGCTTTTTTAGTTATATTTCAGGTTTTGTGTTGGATATCAGCCCTCAAAGTAACTTCCATAGATTATGTAGAAATCTGCTCTTTAAAATGGATAGTTCAATTTTCTGACATGAATTATGAGAATCAATTTTGAATCTCTTAAATGGGTCTTCGTTGAATCATCTGCTGCACATCGTAGACATCCTCATGTCAGTTTTTTCGAGGGTCTTTTGTGCTTCTCTTGGATGATGCTTTATCTTCTGCAATTTGTTTGACATGATCCTGCTGCCACTTTTGGTAATTGTGGCTCCTAGGTGTGCTTTTGGTTTTGGGTATGCCTCAAAGTTTCAGCACAAATTATTTAATTCAGTGGTTAGCTTTTGACGTATCATTGTCATGAACATGTCCATCTTTACTGTCCACTCACTATATGTCACTAATCTGTTGTTGTCCTAGCATTTTTTCCTAGTGTCAATCAAAATTGATAACAACTACATTTTTTTGCGTCATTAAACAATTATAACATGCTCATAGTTTAAATAAGTCTATGAGGAGTCAATATTGTTTTCTTTTCTTCGACAATCATATTTGGTCTTCTTTAGTTGCATTTTCTTTTTGAAGTTGCTTTTTATAGGAGTTGCAGATTAAAACATATTACCTGATTATGCATAGACTTCTGTTTTACTCTGAATGAGCAACATATATTTCTCTTTATTTGAAGAACTTAATTGCTGCGGTGGAATTTGATGCTCAAAAAATGATTTCCACCTCTTCGAGGAACTTAGTAGGATAATTTAGTGGAACAAGCTTTATCCTTAAAATTTCCAGTCACTTGACTGGTATGGCTAAGGTTGTTTTAAGCAGCTCAACTGCTCCATATGGCCTGGTATATCTAAATTTATGACAATTGCACTTGCAAAACAACATTGCACAGGCTTCTATTCATTGTATTTACTTAATAGTCTGGTTGGATATAGTTATTTAACTCTAGTTTCTTTTGCTTGTAGCACCTTTTAAGTCGATGATTTACTTGTTACTACCCTCCCCAGTTGTGGTCAGTGGTTAGCACAACATTCCATCATGGTGCCTTGTTCAGATGCTGCATTGATACAGCCTTATCAGCAGTATGATATGGTAGATATACATGCTCGCAAATGTAAACACACTGAATCTTCTTTGGTGAGTCCTCTTGAGGATAGTGGCATTATGTTGAAGGGTTGTCGGCGCAGGTACGAGAGGCTTGAGCTGTTGTGAGACGAAACAGAAAAGGGGAGAAAGAACCATGGCTTTCATGTAGGGTTGACTCAGGAAAGGGGTAAAATGATATAATCAAGGCCATGGAGAGTTGGAGAATCAATTAGCCCATTAGGAAAGGGGGTGGATGGGATGCAGGATCAGTGTTGATATTGCATCATCACAAGAGCTGCCTGCTGACATTGGTTGGTCCAACATGCACATAAGCCTTCCTTCAGGCAACAAATGGTCGAAAGCAAAGACTAGGGGTCAACTTAGATATATTTAAAATAGGTCACAGTCTAGGCCAAGTAACCCACCAATGGGTCAAAACTATCATAAATGAAATATGTACTGACATATGCTAAATTTACAACAAAATATTGACCGCATCAATTTGCTTTTCAACTGTGTTAAAAGTCTTCTCGAGTTCCCTTGCCTCTTACATTCTCAACATCAATTTAGCATATGTACTACATATGCTAAATTTACAACAAAATATCTACAACATCAATTTGGTTTGGCCTGTGTGTGTGTGTCAATTCCTTTTTGAGTGGGTGTATCTGGTAACTCTGTTACCTATCCGCTCAGTCTTCCTGAAGGAACCCTAAGCAGTTATGTTAGTGATTTTTCTGGAGTAGGCACAGTTGTTTTTGTTGATGGCTATTAATCTAGCCAAATTAATGTGACAATCGGCACTGGCCACTGACAAAATAACCCATTGTCGTAGGATCTACACTGAAACAAGTGGCATCGTAGCATTCTCTGCTGTTGCTTCTTTAGAGTTTCCCTTATGCATTTGAATTTGGTGCAAGCACTAACATCTGTTCTTACAATATGCTAGGTGCCAGCAACTGCAATATTCTTCATAGAAGAGGGAAGAAAGGTTGCGGCTGCATAAAATGCTGTAGTTTCAGGGAACAAAGATTCTTGGGAAATTACTGATGACATCATGATAGTTTGACCTGTGTTATACTTGCTAAACAACTTGCCTGTTGGAGCAAATTATTGGACATTTGTCCTATCACCTGCAGTAACAGTATGGATTTCGGTTCTTTCTTCGACACCTTTCAAGCAAAGGTGCTTTTGTTCTTGGGCCCCAATTTTGACACACAGGAATGCTTGGTCTCTATATATCGTAGATGGCATCTTGTTGTGCTCCTATGGATGTGGCTTACCTGCTGCTGCAACTTCTTAGTTGTATATGACTTGTGAGTTGAGTGGGAGCGTACTCTTCTAGCTTTGTGGAAAGGTCTGCTTACATTCGAACAAAGTGATGAGTGCAATGGCTTTTTGCTACCTTATTCTTCTTGGTTGAAAGCAGGCCATTCAATTTCGTATATGCCAAGCATCTCTTTATGTATCATAAACTCGAGCATATCCAACTTTTCATTTTTCTGACTCTCTTCAAGACAGTTATTCTTCATATGTATTTGCTGTCAAGCTTTTATCCTTTCTCTTTGGTATTCAGATTGAGATTTGAAGCATCAAAAAATTAATTATTAGAGTGATTTTTTTGAAAAAAATTGATTTTTTTTTTTTTTTTTATGATCCATGAAATACCCCTATCTTTCCTATCCAAAAATCCTATTCAATTATTGACTCAAAATCTAATTATAATTAATAAGATCTCTAATTATAATTAATAAGATAAAATTATAACGTATAACTAATGTATAAATATAATTATAACCAATTACAATTCAGATCTCTAATTATAATTAATAAGATAAAATATAACTAATGTATAAATATAACGTACACGTACGTATATACATACACATACATGACATGACATGACATGACATGACGTGGTGGCGTAACGCGACGAGGAATCCCCAAAGGCCAATCCGCCTCGTATCCTATTCCCATCACGACTGTACAAAAGGCCGAGCAGGGCAAATAGAAATTATACCTGAGAGGCGGTACCTTTCTGTGGCGGTCTCGCTCGCTTTGTCGCCGTTCTCAAGCGAAGCATCGCCGTTGGCTCCTCTCCCTCTCTGTTCTCTGTGCTCTCGAGAAATCTAGGTAATGGGATGTACGCTCCATCCTTTTCTGGTTTGTCTCCTGCTTCTTCTTTCCTCGGGACTGGTTTCTTTGGTGGAAGCGTTAGGGTTTGAGGCGGAAGGAAAGTTGCTATATTGTCGTTCGGAATTTGGATCGATTTAGCTGTGCTATCTTTTCATCCTGTATCTTTGGTTTCTTGTTCTGTTACGAGGGCTTGTTGCAAGTTAAGATTTGTCGTAGGATTTGGTGGATTCTGAGTGTGTGCGCTGGATGTTTCTTGTATGTTTTGGGTTTGTGGATTTTGGTCGGATCTGTTATCAATCTTCCTTGGGGGTCCTAATGAGTAAATGAAGCATAGTAAGATCTCGGTTTTTAGATTATTGATCTTAGATGGCCTAGTTGTATTGGGTTCTCGTGGGTTTTTTACGGAAAGGAGGCGTATGTTTCTTTGCGAAGCTGCTATATTTAAACATCATGTGTGATGAGTAGATATGTTTGTGGGAATGAATCTTCGATTATATTTAGTGCATTGATGACCGCAAGCTGCTGACTAAATAAGGCTAGTGGTAACAGTATTTGTTTTTAATCTATTTGTGCTTGCCCTTTCTCCCATGCATGATTTTCAATCTGAAGCAAAGGAGCAGGGAAACAATAGCTCCTTTTTAATTTTTGCAAGGTTCTAATGTGTATTAGTATGATGCTTTATGTTCCTAATAAGGCTAAAGTATTCTCTTCGGATGGTGCTTACTTATAATGACAGAGTTCTAAGATCAAGTTACAATTTCCTAATTACTGATTTGGTTGTTTCTTTCTTTGGATAACCTGGGATTGTTAATTTGATCCAGGTGATTCGTTTGCCGGTGGATTCCTTACCTAAGTAAGGCAGTGATCTTGATTGTGCTAGCTTTTAATGGATCGTCTTATTGTGGGCCTGTTACGTGATATGTGGAGGCATTGTTCTGTTTGGATGTGCATGCATGTTGGCTAAGGCTACCTTCATATTAGTAGAAATCTATAATAGATGTGCATGCATTATCTAATTCCTTTGTATAGATCCAAAGGCATGTTATAACAAAATATCAAATTGAGTTCCTTTCTCTGGTTACAATCACTGTTAGTTAAAGTCTTTAGTCCTTTATGCTTTGATCCATAGGCTTAAATTTGAAGGCAAATAGCATAGGTGTTCCAGATTCATGTTCATGGGGGTAGTGCAGCCACTTGATTTTCTATTAATGCTAAGTGACTAAAACCATTTGTTTATTCCCTTGTAGTTGCTAATATGTTTGAATATACTATATGATCTGAAGATATGATCTTTGACGCCATCCAGTAAAGCTCAGCTCTCTTTATCCTAATATATTGGTTTGTTGACATCTTATAGATTGTGATGGTATGAAAGGTCAATGTCTTAATTTTGAATTTTGTAATGGATGCTATAAAATCAAGTGGCTGAGACCGACATTGCTTTATGGATTTGAGTGTTGGACAATTAAGAAACAACATATACAAAAAGTTTGTGTTGCTGATATGAGAATGCTGAGATTGATGTGTGGAGTTACTAAGAATGGTAGGAAAAGAAATATTTTTATTCATGAACAACTAGGTATCGCTTAGATAGAGGATAAGACGAGAGAAATTCGTTTAAGATGGTTTGGGCATATGCTTAGGTGGCTGTTAGATGTGGTAGTCAAAAGAGGTGAAATAATTGATATTAGTGATATAAAGAGAGGTAGAGGAAGACCTAAAATGATTTTAATAGAAATTATAAATAAAGATTTAAGTACTCTAAATTTAGCTAAACATATGATTTGTTTTGCAGATCTTAATAGGACTTATTTTGTTGTTGTTGTTGTTGTTGTATGATATAACTGATTACTACTTTCCTCCAGTGTGCTAATTGAATGATACAAATAACTCTATGTCAGCACAGCCCTGGATTCCAAATGTTCCTCACAATGGAATCTGGAGCCATGTATATTTTATCACCATATTTTGCTTTTGAATGCCGTGTTTGATTATAGCTAAATTTACCTTTCTTGGGTCTATTGGTTTTGGCTCTTTTCATGATCATAGGGCTCTTTTTTGTTGCATTTGCATCACCTATTACTGACTTCGATTTTTTTGTTGGTTATTATGCTGTTAAATCATTTTCTTTAATTTTAATTTCAGCAATCATGGCTGGAATGACACCTGAAGGATCCCAATTTGATGCTCGCCAATACGACGCCAAAATGAATGAGCTGTACTGATTCTTACTTCTTCCCTATAAGGAACTCATTTTAACATGATGTCATTATTCAATGAGTTATTGCAAAATGCTTACTGATGTTGGACTTGCTATTTTGTGGGAAAGGGCAGGCTTTCACAAGATGTGCAAGATTTTTTTACTTCATACGATGAGGTATATGATAGTTTTGATGCAATGGGTCTCCAGGAGAATCTTTTGAGAGGCATTTATGCTTATGGTAAATTACCTTCTTTATCTGCTCAAATTGTTAATATCTAATGGAAGTGGTGTAAGCTGATATTTTCGGTTTCTGCCCTCTGTGAATTTTAGGTTTTGAAAAGCCCTCCGCAATTCAGCAGAGAGGTATTGTTCCTTTCTGCAAGGGACTCGATGTCATTCAGCAGGCACAATCAGGGACAGGAAAAACTGCAACATTCTGTGCTGGAATTTTGCAGCAGCTTGATTATGGCTTGGTACAATGTCAAGCTTTGGTTCTTGCTCCAACTCGTGAATTAGCACAACAAATTGAAAAGGTGATGCGTGCACTGGGTGACTACCTTGGTGTGAAAGTTCATGCTTGTGTTGGAGGAACTAGTGTTCGAGAAGATCAACGCATTCTTTCCAGTGGGGTTCATGTTGTTGTGGGGACACCAGGTCGTGTGTTTGACATGTTAAGAAGGCAGTCTCTTCGGCCTGACAATATCAAGATGTTTGTGCTGGATGAGGCAGATGAAATGCTTTCTCGTGGTTTCAAGGATCAGGTACACCCAGTGCCCATTATATTGTTGCAAATGATGTCTTTAAATCTTTCGTCTTTCAGTAAAAGTATTATGCATAGTAAACGAAGTACTTAACTGTCGGATGTTCCTGTTTTCAACTTTCCAGTGTGAGTTGACTACTACATAAAGATTTTTTTTTTAAAAGTTGGAGGCATGTATGTATTTTATACAGTATATTGGCACTACAAGTTGGTCCTCAGAGTTTATATTTAGTTTCCTGCTTTTTGTTGAGGTAAATTGCAAATGCATAACAGTTGCTGTTGTCATGCAATTTTTCTGCTGACAATCTTATTTATGTACTGTCCAATTCTGCTGATGGGAATCCTGGTGAATGCTCTATGGTTAAGGAGTACATGCTTGTTAATTGTACTTTTATGGTAGCAAGTATCCTGGCAACAGGACAAAATCCCTGGGAATTTTGTTTTTAAGTAGTGGTACACCCTAAGAAATAAAAAACACAGACAGACACAAAGTAATGGGATAAACCCAGTTATCTGTGAATCAAACTTATCTTCTTTTAGAGGAAAAGAAAGAACATTGGACTTCTTTTATACAACAAAAAGGGTAACAGAGAGGATGGATGGGATAGGAAAATAGGTGAAAGGAATCCTTTGTTTTTAGTTGCTTTTCTGCAAATGGTCATTTCTTGCTTGCTCTAATATGGGTGCATGATTCTCTACTTTCTACCTGTTTCTTACTTTGTTGAAAAGGAAACCCTTAATTGATTCTCTACTTTCTCTACTTTGTTGGTAGTCATCCTGAATAAAGTGGCCTTCTAATGGGTCCCAACATCTATGTAAAACCGTAGCCAATTGGTGCCTTGTTAAAAATGGACTTCCAATTGGTCTAGGCTGCCATTTTATAAAATCATTATTGCTACTATTTTACCTCATGAGAAACCATCTTCATTTACTTATTCCGTTGTTATTTGTTTACAGATACGTCTTAGATATAGATGTATCTGTCAACAAATAACAACAAAACAAGTAAATGAAACGGTTTTACAGATCTCTATAACGGCAAAAGATCCATATAATCGACTCCAAATAGTTGGGACTTTTGGTTTTGTTATTGTTGTCATACACATCTTAGATGTATTTGGGGAATTTATTTCATTTTAATTTGTTCTTTACACTTATATTCCTTTTGCTGTTGATTTAGTGATTTATGCTTTTTCTCCAACTTGCCTACTTTTTTGTTCCCCATGTTGGTTGGTGTTTTATTTCAGTATTAGTTCATTATATGTGTGGAATTTAGTTAGAACCCTGAACATTTGGCAGTATTCTTTAGTAGCATCGGCAACAATTATGGTGTTTGATGGTATGACCATAATAGCATTTAATTTATAGAGAAATCAGATCGGGCCAAATTCCATATGAGCCATACCACAGTAAATGAAGGCTGATCAATATCATTTTGACATTTAATTAGTAATATGGCATAAATTTTTATCCATTTATCTGGGACCAGTACAAAACTCAATCTGAAAGTTGTTTCAAAGGCCTTTTTTTTATGGAAAATGCTGCCAAGTTCTTATTTCTTGTAAATTTTGCTTTTTCAGATTTTCCTTATTTGAAGGCTATGTGAATCATTGATTGACTCGATGCATTAATAAACTTTGCTTTGTTGAGAAGATTTCTTTTGTTTTTCTTTCATCTTCATTCTTGTGCATCGCTCTCTCTCTTGCTTGTAGTTTAGGGCTCGTAACACTTCCATCCGGAGGGCCATGGACAGCTGAAGTGTTATTTGAACTATTAAGCAGACTTTTAGATGGTAACCTTTTACTGAGTATGATAGCCTTAGTTGTACTCATTGTGATATCAGATGCTGAAAGGAATCCGACCTTGTAAGTATTATCATAGAATTTTAAAGCATAAAGGACTGGACATGTGGATGGATTCAAACAGAGACTACCATATCTTGTTGTCAGTGGTCTAGAGGATCAATGCATTATTTGTTTTGAACATTATGGCGTTTTGACCTACTGTCATTATTTGGTAATTCTAGAAAACTTTTACTGCCCACTTTGCACCACTAGTAATTTGAGCCTCTAATTGATGTTATGACTTATGTTGATAGATGGTGTGTCACTGAGCAGTCCAAAATTTTAATTGAACAGACAAGACATTAGAGCCATTAGTAGGTTGTAATTGTTTAAGATTAGAAGAAAATTACATTTGACTTGCTTCTTTTTTTCTTTTACTAATATATGAAAGAATAAATTTTGAGTAAAATGTTCTTACGAAGAAGACAATGTCTTTACTTATATTAAGGTGCTTGCTGGAGTTCATAGCTGATACTTTGGTCAATATATGATTTTCATTAAGACTTCTTTGTTATACTACAATCAATAGAGATATATGAACAGTGTCAGATGTGATTTCTTTTTCTAAATACTACCCATAGTATGACTGAGATAAATGAACTCAAGATGTTTTTGATGGTTTTAACATTTATGATGCTGATATAGAAAGGCATGAGTGGTTTATTTTTTAACATCACGTTAATTTTGTTTAAATTGTTGGCTATTTCTTCCAATGCTAAAATATTTGTTGCCTTTGAATGTAAGAGCTATGTTATGTAGAAGTTTATATGCCAAAACTTTTCATTTGGTTGCACTGATATCATGATCTTTTTGTTCCTTTTAGTTGTCAAAGTATTTCTGCATCTGTGTATTCCATAGCTAGAAGTCTCAATTTTAAGAAAAACATCCTGGGTTATCTTTGGATGATCATTTAAATCTTCATTTATGTTTCTTCAATGCAACTTGTACTACCTCTTTCTTGATTTAATTTCACTTTGTCTTCTGTGCCTTTGTTAATTGTTTTCTAAATGGGAGCTTGTTTATGGGATTTCCCTTTTTAGATCTATGACATATTTCAGCTGCTTCCTTCCAAAGTTCAAGTTGGTTTATTCTCTGCCACAATGCCTCCAGAGGCTCTTGAGATTACTCGCAAGTTCATGAATAAACCTGTGAGGATCCTGGTGAAGAGAGATGAGCTTACTTTGGAGGGTATCAAGCAATTCCATGTCAATGTTGAGAAGGAAGAATGGAAGCTTGAGACCCTGTGTGATCTCTATGAGACCTTGGCCATCACACAGAGCGTGATTTTCGTCAATACTCGACGCAAGGTGGACTGGCTCACTGACAAAATGAGGAGCAGGGATCATACTGTCTCTGCAACCCATGGAGATATGGATCAGAACACTCGGGACATTATAATGCGGGAGTTCCGTTCTGGCTCCTCTCGTGTACTCATCACCACTGATCTCCTTGCTCGAGGTATTGATGTCCAGCAGGTCTCCCTGGTTATAAATTATGATCTGCCGACACAGCCAGAGAACTATCTTCATCGTATTGGACGAAGTGGCCGTTTTGGAAGAAAGGGTGTCGCAATCAATTTTGTCACTCGTGATGATGAACGCATGTTGTTTGATATCCAAAGGTTCTATAATGTGGTGATTGAGGAGCTGCCATCCAACGTTGCCGACCTAATCTGATAAGGATTTTTTGGTTGAACTGAATGTTTGATCTTTATAACCTGTTTAGGTTTAGCAATAAACTCATCGAAGGTGTCTCTTGACTATCTTGAATGGTGCGGTTATAAAGGAAGTTCCAAGCGCTGGTCTTGTTTGAAGCGATGATTCCTAGTACTTTATTATCGTTCATCACATCTTTTTAGAGTTGCAGCCACTAAGTTGTATCTCCCCATCTCTTTTGTTGCGATTGCTGAGCCTTTTTGGATCTGCACATCTTTTTTGAACCTGTTTTGTTTCTAGATGTACTATTTGAAGGATTTATGTATTATGACAAGGATATTTTATTGTTAATTATCTAGTGATGGTTGGTTTAGATTGATGCTGCATTCATTGTTTCAAAAACCCCTATGGGCTTATTTGAAGGAATCTCTGATGGTAAAGGTAGAGAGTGATTGGTTTGGTTGGAACGGTACTTCTGTTACTCCCTTTTTGCTTTGGCTATTATGGATCGGCAACATGAATCTTTGTCGATATCAAAATTAAATTTAAAATGTTTAAATTTTTTATTTATAGTTTTTTGATAAAAGCTTTTTAGATCTTTATCTTTTTCCGTACTGTCAATATTAAATTTTTTTTTATTTTTTAATGATGACATTTGTGTGATAACATTTGTGTCGTATGTGCACGTGCATATGATCTTAAATGATTAAACGAATAACTTTGCTTTGGCTATTAATAATGTAATCTGTATGGTGGCTCAATATTGTTTTCCAAGTAGCAAACCATCGCATAGATTTTTAGCAATTGGTTCTTTTTTTGGAGATTTATAATAGAAAATACATTTGGAATTAATTTTTGCAATTTCTTTAAATTACTTTTTCGTTGGGTGTTAGACAATTAATTTTTGCAATTTCTTTTCTTGCTCTCTTTGTAGTAACAAATCCATCGAAGCTTCTTTACACAAGAAAAATGGTACTATAAACTATTGAGTTAGTCATTGCCAGTAACATTGATGTCATTAGCATCATAATGCTAACTTATTCATCATATTATTCTAAACTATTTTGGATAATGCAAAATTGAGAAATAATGAATCCTAAAAATAAAATTCACTATTTAAATATGAATCTAATTATCTATTTCGACACTATTATCATCTGAATTCGTTTCGAGTGAGGGGGAAGGTGGAGATGCGTGGCGTGTGCACTGTCATCATCCAGTTAAATCACAGCCGTTCATTTTGAAGCCTATAAGTCGGTGGCTGCACTATAAATAAAGATGCGGCCACCCAAAACCCACTTGCCTCTTTCCTCCCTCCTTTTTTTTGAAGGACGTCGAGATCAAGAAGCGCGCAAACCCTCCGCCCTCTCTCTCTCTCCTCATCGGCGGGGATCGCCCTCCGCCATCTGCCGTGGATGTCGCCTTCTTCAGGTGCAGCCGGGCTAAGGAATCCCTCAGGATTCCGGATCTATGTTGCTTGCTGCCGCAGGCTCCCATGAGGGAGAGCGGCAGGACGGCGCGTTCGCTTTCGTTTGGGTGCAAATCCGGTTCGCTTCGATCGATCATCGTTGGAGTGTTCGGTTTCACTTTAGTCCTGGTGTCCAGGTGAGACCATCTCTTGTTCGTGCTTGGCGTTCTTGATCTGGTGTTTATCTTCGTTTTCTCGGTTCTTCTTTTGATCTTGGATCTTGATTTGATAGAAAGACGGTTAGAATCCGGTCCAATTCCCTCACCACCACGGGCGAGCAGGCGGAAGACACGATCGGTATATGTATAACAAGGTGAAATCAGGCCTTCTTTGGTGTTTGTTGTTTTCGATCTGTTGTTGCCTGGGAAGAACGGTAGATCCTGAAGCAAGCTTTTGCAGCCGTAGGTTCCTACGTGAAGGGACGTGATCTCCCTCCTCTGGGGCAAATTTTTGGGGCTTCGCTTCGACCGATCATCTTGTGTTTCTGGTTCCCGCTGATCCCCATCTCAAGGTGACATATGCCCCTGTCTCGTGCTTAAGATTTGTTGTGCCTCTCAGTTCTTGTTATCGATCTTTCGTCTTCACATAATGGAAAACATGGTTAAGATGTGAATCTAAGTGGAGAGACTTTTATTTGGCTAAAATGAGTCATACATACTTCGATCTTGAAATAGTTCTTTCACCCAACAGAAAAAAGATACATGAAAAAAATAGAAAAGAAGAACGATTTCGAACAAGTTATTACATGAGATTTTTGGACTAGTTTATCTTTTTGATGTAGTTTGCACTATGCTATCCGCTTAATTATTTGTGAAGGGTATATCGAGAAATACACACAGGCCCAAAAGTAGGTGAACGGGACAGGCGGGGCCATGTCAGCCCATGGCCACATAATGACTCTACTAATGGCTTCCATGCTAACTTGGATGTAGAAAGCATGAGGTTTGTGCTTCAGGGGTGACAAGCTTTTGGAATATACCTCAATGCATATTATGAGATATAGTCAAATGTATTCGTTCATCCTTAAAAACTTTTATCACTGATCTCCGGCAACTAGATGTCTTATTTTGAACCACAATAAATCATTCGACCTTGTTGTGCTTTATGCATAAATTAAATACAATTGACTAACCAATATATATGGTGGATTTTTGAGAGGTTATTAGCGTGTATTAATTACATGATGATGGAAATGAACATTGTGTTCCATTTGATTAGAAATCAAGGGATGAAGTTTTTCGGTTGAGTTGGATATATGAGGAGCACAGACGCTTCAGAGGCTAACCGGATGTCGAAGAAGATCATTGGAAATTGGAGTAAACTAGAAGCATTACAATGTGAATTAGTTTTGGACCTTAGAGAAATATTTAAGAGGAGATAAAAATGTGCCCTAGAAAACAATTGGAAATTAAGTGCATGAAAGAAGTATTTGATTTTCTCCATTAATTGGTTTGCCATGCTTGTTTGAACGATCTTAATATAAACGGAAATTAAGACTATGTCATCGTCAGTCATTAGAATATCAAATCATTTGAAGTGGCTAAGAAAGATGAAATCCAGCCTTTGATTTAGCTCGTGTTGATTTCCTGCATAAAGTTCTCTAGATGTCAGATTGATTCTTGCATAGATGATCTAATCTTGCCCGTTCACATCCTTTCCATCTTTATGATGAAGGGAGAATAGCAACAAACAAAACAAAACAGTGACTGGAGCTTTTTCCTCGGCATTCACCTTCAATGAGACATCATCTGGTCACACTCCGCCCTGCATTAAATAGCCCGGACGTACCTTCTTTAAGAAGGTAACCTTCTTTACGAATTAAACTTCCTCTTTAAGTTTGATGATCTAGCAATCCTGGGTGGGGATGAATTTATGTGTTTTTTATTGTCATGTCATGATGCTAAGATGAGGTGATTTATGGCGTACACACCCTCGAGCAGTGTTCAAATTAATGGAAAAAAAAATGGAAGGGCTAACCCGTATAGAACAAGTTTAATCCTATATTATCTTTTCAAGTCCCGTCTGTCTTCCAAGTTTACATAACTAATTGGAGTGGGCGTGTGGTTTTCTGCATGTGAAAATAATGCGGCTGTAAGCGTATATGTAACTGTACCTGTTAATTGTTGTACAATATTAGTCAGGTGTTTCTTGGTCACCATATGCATTGTTCCTATACACACGACACATCATGTTTGCACATAAAAGATTAATGATACAAATTCTACTGGTATGTGTCTTTGTGCTTGCTAGAATATGGGACATGTCTCTTGTGTCTAAAGTTGTTATTGTCTAAAGTTGTTAGGACATTAATGGGAGGAATTGACTCTAGTTAACTGTTTTTTTTGTCTTTTTGCTTATACGTTACTTGCCATAAAGCTCCTTCTTTGTGGCTTCAATTCAAAATGTAAGTGGCTGCTTATTTCATTAAAAATGTCTTCTCATGCATATACTGGACAAAATATTGTTATTCTTAGTAGACTCCTAGACTTTTCGACATGTAGTCTGGTTTTGTCTTTCATTATAAGTCATGTGTTTCTGATTATAAGATTTGTTGCTATTTTTCCTTCTTTCTAGTTTTCTAACTTTGCTAACTTGGTAACTTGCTAATGACCATACAGGGATACGGTGATTTCAGCAACAGGTGGTGGAAATGGAGCTTTGCAGCGTGCGTCCTTGAAGACTTGCATATATTACTTGTATTCCATTAGATTGATTCTGAAGCGCAACTTTGCAAAGCACAAAGTGCAATGATTTTTACTTCTTTTTCTCTTTTGTTTTTGTATTTTCAAGGGACGCATTCGATAAACTTATTGTAAAACGCTTATGATTTAAGAAATATTAATGAGTATTTAAGGAAATTTTTTTTAGAAATATTCTAAAAAATTTCATGGTTTTAAAAAGTTTTTTTCCCCAAAATTTTGTTATCTCTTTTGCAAATATTGAATATTTTCAAAATATTCTTAAAAAATTTAAGAATATTATCCAATATTTTTTTTAAAAAAAATGGTCATGGTAGAAAGTTTTCGTGGGCTTTATCCAAATCAAAATCGGCATTCACATCAGCATTTCAAAGTTTAAAAGAAATTTCACTTACATTTTTGTGTACTTTCTAATTTCTTAGACGTTTTTTTTTCCGAATTAGACATTATGTTAGTATTTCACATTTTCTAATAGCATTAAGAAAACTAATTTTTTTCATCAGGCACAAAAAAATTTAAGAAAAGTTCAGCTTCGACAAATATAGCAACAATAGGGGCCAAAAAAATATGATTAATGAGAAGCACAAGTTGACGTTTTGTCAATTTTGTGATCAATGCTGTGGAAACGCTGAATCAACTCGTAGCGATAAGCCACCCCACGTCCTGTCTAGTTACATGATACGTTAATCATGCAACACGACGAGTTTGAGAGTTTACCCTGTTAATGCTAAATCGGAGAATTTACCACATCACGTCCTGTATCGATGATCTGTCTACGACAATGCTAGGAAACAAAAGGGATAATCGTAGTATCCAAATGCGTACAAAAAAAAAAAAAAAAAAAAGGATGTCCCATCACCCAACTCACAGACCAAACCGTCCTGAAAAGATTCTCCAGGCTGTTGATGTGCGACCTATACGGTTCGGATACGTTGGTAGAGACAGGTGGCGAGATTTAGGAACTAGAATTGGAGGCATTTGGATTCAATAGGATGTTGAGCGTTAAATATCTTTGAAATTTACACACTAAATTAATTATATATAAGGCTTTCTTCCTTATATATGTAATTTCCAACTGTTTACTTTTTTTTTATATGTAAAAAAAATATTTAATTATCTATGGAATATGATATTTAGTGGCGCTGCCTTCGGTTGACGTGCGAACGTGATAAAACCAGAGGTAGCCACGTCGTTGTGTGAGTTTAATTGATTCTACATAAAATCGGGACCCACCCACCACGAGTATGTCTCATGAGACCTCGTCCGTGGGCCCCGCAGTTAAATTACCAGTCACCGTCGAACAGGTGATTGAAGCTGGAAAGTTTATAGTCAATGATATAGAACCAACTCTTTAGTAACCATCTCTCTCACTTAGGAATATAAAGAACCATAAGGGTTTGGGTAAGTGATGGTTTCACTTTTCTTGATCAGAATAATGCTTTGTAATAATTATCTAGAAAACGATAGCTCCACATGCTGCTTATCTCAATGTGCACGCAATGCTCCAATCAATCATCAATCATCAATCATCGCTCTCATGGCCTACAAATGTGGACCTCAATATTGGCTATGACGTCTACATCTCTTATCAACCCAAAAAACAGAAGCAATGTTTAAGATGTAATACTTGCAGTCCAAATAATTAATCCCAAAAAACAATGAGTGATGTATACCGATGCGTGCAGGGAAGCCAAAACGTGCCTCCGTTGCTCGAGTCAAGCCCAGATGGCGAGGGCCGACATCGCCCCCGCGCCGAGGAACAGAGCCAAGTAGGACGCCACCTGAAGCCGCACGTTGCAGCTGATCGTCTGGCTCAGGAAATCCGCCGCGATGAGATCCACCAACGCCATATATATCAGGATGCCCGCCGACATGGAGTCCAGCATGCCCTCCACCACCAGCGCCCTCGGGCTATTGGGGTTGTACGACGACGACACGCCCGCTCCCAAGGCGATTCCCGCCGGCGTCGTGATCGCGAAGAAGCACGCCATCATGGCCGCCGCCATGCTCCGGAACCGTGCCTGCGAGATGCACCCGCCCAGCGCGAAGCCTTCGAAGAACTGGTGGAAGGAGAGAGCCGCCACCAGCGGCCGGATGGTGCAGGGGCTCTGCGACACGCCCAGGGAGAGCCCGATGATCACGGAGTGCGACACGATTCCGAGCTCCAGCACCTGGCAACGAAGTTCACGTGAGTTATTTCCCGTGTTCGATCGATCCGAGTTCCGGTGTGGATCGAGGGAATGGCGGATCGAGTTACCTGTGACACCACGACGTGCCGTGCGTTGGAGGAGCCCTCGCCTTCCTCCTCGTGCGCGTGGCCGTGGGACCGGACGGGTACCGCGGCGCCGTCGCACGCCCCGTGCGCGTGCGAGTGGCTATGGCGGTGGGCCGCCGCGTGGGCGTGCATCCCGACGATGTGCATCGGGTCTTTCCCTCTCCCCGCGGAATCCGCTTCCGGCGTCAGCAAGGCGGCGGTGATCCCCTTCTCCTCGAGATCCGCCGCCGCAGAGGCCGCCGTCGCGTCCTCCCGGTGCTTCCGCTCGTAGAACTGGGTCCCCACGAAGTCGACGACGAGCGTGCCCAGCGCCGCCGCCATGGCGACGAAGCCGGCGAAGGGGAACTTCCGCCAGGGTGAGTCCGGGAGGCATGGGTTCGTGAGCGACGACTCCGCAGCGTGGAGCATGTGCACGAAGCCCGTCGCGAGCACGACGCCAGCTGCAAATGCCTTCACGCAGACGAAGACACCCCCGTCGGTGCGCACCAGTCGCCCCTTCCCTCCCACCAGGGGGATCGCCACACCGACAGCTCCGGCGATCAGGATCGCCCCGATCGCAGCCAGCTTCAGCCACAACGCCGCCTCCTCGTCCAGGCACTCCTCCACCGCCTCGACAGAGGCACAGTTCGTCGTCGCCATCGACGCCCACATCCTCTCTTCACCACCATCGTCACCACCACAAATCAGCATCCAAGATCAAACACATACGAACCATATAAGAAAACAAAAAGAAACCGATTTTTACCTCCAAAAAGAGGTCAATTTGTCGCGGAATCGAGCGAAGACGGGCAGAGGATCAAAATCCTGCGTAGAACACGAAAAGAAGAGCAAAATCAGAATTAGGGATCAAGGAAAGCGAAGGGATTCCATCGAATCCGTACCTCGAAAAAAGGACAGCAGGACTCGTTCGCCGATGTCCTTCGTTCGACGGGCCGGAGGTACTTCAGGGCGTGTGACGAACAAACGGCGGAATTATAAACTGATTCGCGGGGACAGGATGTCGTCATCCGGGGAAAGAGGGAGGTGGGGGATACGACAAGGCGGACGTCGCGCGGGTGAGCGTACCGCTCTCTCGACGCGCCCGTTGGAACGGACGGCCGTGATGAGACCCCAGGAGTCGCCGCGGACGCGGCCATACTGACCGGGAAAGTGGGACCACCAACGGGGGCCATCTTGGTTGGGCCATGTCGACATAATGGCGACACGTCTGGAAGTCCACGACGGAGAGCGGTGTCCTTTCGTGGGTCGTTCACCATGTCGACATAATGGCCAAACCCACAGCTCGGGGAAGCAGATTGTGGTATTGTGCATGAGAAACAGATCCCAATGCAAATGATACAACATAACCTCTTTAATCTTCATGCATGGCATTATATATATTAAGTAGATTGGAATCGATCATCCCAACACAAATTGGATACAACCTTCCGATCCCAACACGTACTAGGTTACTGCTCGGCATGTCATATCTTGGGAATCCCGAGGCGATGTTGCTCCCGAGATATATCAAATCAGAATCTGTACCAAGATACTGTTTGGTATGTCTATCACGTCAATCCGCGTACGATCAACTCACGTGCGATACTATAAAGATCTCTAGCCAACAGGGGGGGAAAGATCAATTGATCACTCTATTGACTTGTTCGTCAGAGGGGCCTCGTCGGGTGATCCCGACAAGGGCCATTTTTACAGGAAAACTCGGTCACCTCACAAAGGCGAGTTGCCAGCGACCCCGGAGAAGGAGAGACATAGCTCGACATACACAACGCCTGGATCGGCACATAAGGAACGCTGATCAATACCCCGTCG